TATATATATATATATATGTTTTAGATTTTAGTCCTTCCCCATTTTATAAACACAAACAAACAATTTTATTATAAAGTAATTACTGTATATTTTTAACCTAAAAATCACACTAAAATTAAAATTAATTTATTGTATTTGGTCTAATCTTACAAGTTACAAGTCACTTTGATTGGTATTGATATATTTTTGAGGTTTCAGTTTTTTTTCTTTTGTAACATCTTTTGTGTCTACCTCACACCATTTAAATGAGATTCTAATTATGAGGATATGCTACAGTCTCGTTACAAAATTATTCGTCGGGATTTATAACTGTTAGATCATTATGTAACCATTCCGTCGAGATTTATAACCATTCCGTCGTGGATAATTGATCTAATAGTTACAAATCCCGACGGAATGGTTCCGCAACGGGACCATATAATCTCCCCTAATTATATCAAGACAATTTAACACACACACACAACATTCATAAATAAGAACAGTTATATGAAACCCATTTAAGTGTCATAAGTCATAATTTCTTCCTCCATGTCACCTTGAAAGTTCCTAATTTTAGGTATTTATTTATTTTTTTAAGTGGAGTAATTTTTTTCAATAAAGAAAATCATGAACAGTGAAGCTCAGTCAGATGTAGATTCAATATTGTTAGTTTCACGTGTTCAGCTTAAATTTTACTTGATTTTGCCCCACCAGCATGAGAGAGAGACTGATTGAGCCTCCTTGGTGTCGGTGCATTTTAAAATCATTAAAAAAATATAAAAAATAAAAAATAAAAATAAAAAATTGAAAAGAGACTAAATTAAGACACAATGCACAAAATACCTTCAAATCACGCTTAAAAACGCTGATTAACTGGATTTTTGTCTCTTTCGAATATTCAAACACCACACCAAATTGAGGGACACACAAAATCACAGATTTAATCACATGACTCAATCCTCACCAATACACAATGTGCAATCAATCAAACCATCCAAACACGACCTACAGTGATGATGATATTGATACCTCATGATGATGTACAAGACGAACATCACACACCACGCAACACGAACAGTCGAACGCGACACGATTCGAACAATCAATCAAACCAAACAATTGATTAATTAATTCCCCTGCCCAACCATAGACATCACAACCTTCTTCACGCTCTTGATCGGATAGTAACAGCCCTTGATCTTCTTCGGCCCGAAGCACAATGTCGACGTAGGGGAACGGGCCCTCGCCACGTCATGATCATCAGCATCCTCGTCGTCATCGTTGTCACGAGCGATAATATTGCTCCGCGCGTGCACGGGTGTCGAGGGCACCGAGTACGAGGACGACGAGGACGACGAAGACGAGTGGGGCGAAAACAAAGGGGATGAGTTGGAGTTGGAGTTGTGCAATTTGTTGAATTTCTTGGAGGAGGGCATTTTGGGAAATATCGAGTTGATCACGTTAGACGACGAGCTTCTCGTCTTCGTTTTACTACTCTGCGCGTGGGGCCCACTGAAGTAATACGGTGGAGGGGTGAGTGGAGGCGTAATGGGGCCGTGGCCGTGCCGGTGCTTGGGGGTGCCCGGCTCAGACTCCCAGAGGAAAGGTACGGCGCAGTGGGCCCCACCGTAGTACGGTACACGGAAGGACGCGTCCCCCTGCTTCAAAGGGTTGTGCCTTTCCCTGCTCAGCTTGGAGAGAAAATTGTTGTTGTCGTCGTCGTCGTTTTTTGAGGAGATGGCTCGGGTGGTGCTTAGCGTTCTCGAGCCTCCCTTCGACATTTTGTGAAGAAAAATGGAAGGGGAAAATATGGCTTGGATCTTGTGGGGAAAAAAGATGGAGTGAATTTGAAGAGAGAATTTGGTGAAGAAAAGGGAAAATTAGCCAAGAGCTAATTAGCTATATGGCCTTGCACATTGGATTTTTTCTGCGATCTTATTAAATATTATTGTAGGGACCGTAGATTTAGAGTGGAGACAATGTACAAAGTTTACTTTATAGGTGTGTTCGGTATGGGGTTTTATTGGAAAATACTTCAATCTCGTTACGGAATCATTACGTTGAGATTTGTAACTGTTAGATCATCATGTAACCGTCGTGGATAGTTGATCTCACGACTTCAAACCTCGACGAAATGGTACCGTAACGAGACTGTAAAATCTCTCGATTTTATTATATATATATATATTCCATTTTGTGCATTTATATATATTATTGGGTAGGTCTAATAAATGGCTAACGGTTAGTCAACCATATTTTTTCAACAAATATGCATACTTTTAAATTAAAATATTTGTGACAAAAATATGATATTTTATAGTAGTATATTTGTTAAAAATGTGCAATGAGTCGACCGGCCTGATTGTTACAATGTCTCAAACAAACAAATTGTGTTCTATTATTTACGTAAATATTTTTCAGTGAAATTATTTGTTTGTTTGTTTGTATTTTTGTTTTATTTATTTATTTATTTTGATAAAAAGGAAAGGTCAAGCTTGCAATTAAAGTGGTTGTTAATTGTTCAATCGTTGATCTAAAAAGAATGGGAAATGGAAGGAGAATTTGGTCCCGTGAAAGATGCTCGTTGGATGATTAGTTTTATACAATTGCATGATGTTGACTTAAAAGAAACTTGATTAAATATATACCCCATATTAAAAATCTGTAGATCCACCAACAGAGTTGATTCAAGTGGTAAGTAGCTCGATTTCGCTTAACTAAGGTCTCAGTTCGAGTCCTTGTGTATGCAGAAAACTCTTTTTGAGAGACTCACCCACCACTGTCAGGTGTGCGACCCGGGTCGACCAACAGATTAGTCGGGGCATAGCTCCGGATACCGTGGCTGGCTAAAAAAAAATAATCTGTAGATACAAAGAGTTGATCAATGGATATTTAATGAGCCAAGTTATATAGAGTTAAGTAGCTAGATACATGGCTTTCAAAACAAGTGCATTTATTAAGTAGGGAACATTTAGTCACCATAATATATATAAATGAGTGATGTTTAATTGAAAGATATATATAATAAGTGGCCGGTTGCGAGTATTTGGGATCTTTAATTTGTCTTCCATTAATATCCCAACTTATGGTTCATATATCTCTCGTTTATTTCGGTTTTGCTATGAAGATAACAGTTGACTTAGTTGACTTTATAGTAGAGTCAACCTTCTATATATAATAAATAAAATTATCATATTAATAAAATTATATTAATGATATTTAAGTAATGAAAGAAAGAATAAAATTATATTAATAAAATTATATTAATGATATTAGTCGGTTCCCATGTGGATCCGGAAACCGGAAGGTCCCTGTACCAAAAAAAAATATGATAGATTTACTTGTTGTATATAGAAAATTGGCTCCACTATGAAGTCAACTGTTGTCTTCATAGCAAAACCGGTTATTTGTTAGTAACTCTATGATCCCAACCATCTAAATGTTTTTTTTTTTTTTTTTTT